AATAAGTGAGAATGTTTTGAGACAGGATTTTCAGCTAATATCTCAGTTAGCTTCCTCTTTCTTTAAAATTCAGGTTTAAATCTGTCAGCTAACAATGTAAAAATAAAGCCCAAGATGATAGAGGAAATTTTGGTTCAGTTCTCTTCCTCCATTTCTCCCTGCCTTTCCTCATTTCATTCATTCATTCATATATTCATATATTCAACAAATAATTATTGAAAACCTTCTATGTCTCCAGGTACCAAGCCAGGCACCAGGAATACAGAGGTGTACAAGATGAACATGACCCTCATGGGGGCACATCATCTGCTGGAAAAGACATAGTAAATGAGAAGGGCACAGACTGAATCTAACTAACATTGTGATAAGATTGGAAGTAAAACTACAGGGTTGTGTCAGTATTCAAAAGGGACACCCTCATGTTCTTGAAGAGTTGGCTTGTCCCTTGAAGAAGAGGCTCTTCATAGGAGACGAAAGGAGGCACTTTGCAAGTTCTCACGTATAAATGGGAGCTAAGTGACAGCTACACAAAGGCACACAGAGTGCTATAGTGGACATTGGAGGGACATGGGGAGGGAGGCAGGGAAGGGGTGGGCAATGAAAAATGACCCAGTGGGTACAATGTACAGTACTTGGGTGACGGGTTCACCAAAAGCCCACACTCCACCACCATACAATGTATACATGTAATGGAATTAAACTTTTACTTCCTAAACCTATTAAAGTAAAATCTAAAAATTAAAAAAAGGAGACATTTAATCTGAGACAAAGGAGTGGACATTAGCTAGGGACACATGGGAAGAAGAACCTTTCACTCATTCAACAAATATCTGTGGAGTATCTGCCATGGGCTAAGCCCTGTTCTAGGTGCTGGGGATACATTATTGAACAGAAAAGACAAGGTCACTGCCCTCAGATGCCGACATCCTAGGGGGAGGAGAAAGACAATAAACAAGTAAGCAATAAAGAAGATAATGAATAAGTAAGTGGTTCAGTAAACAAGGAAATGATAGGTAGTGGTAAACCCCATGGAAGAAATAAAACAGGGTGATGGGATAGCAAGTGGCTAGGGGTAGGGTGGCTGCCTTAGAGAGGGGGTTAGGTTGGTCCTCTCGAGAAGCTGAGCCCCCGGGCCTGAGGAAGAACCAACGATGTGAACATCTGGAAAATGGTGTTATGGTGGAGGAAACAGCAGGGACAAAGGCCTTGAGGCAGGAATGATTTTGCTGTCTTTGGGGAACAGGGAGGTGGCCAGCATGTGGCCGCAGCAGAGTGGGGTCGGGATGAGAGTCGGGTAGTAGATGAGATCTGAGAGGCATCCAAGGGTCTGATTGTGTAGAGCTTGGTGGGCCATGGTTAAAAGTTTGGGTTTTAATTCCATGGGAGGCCGCTGAGTGGGTGGGTTGGGTTTCAGCAGAGAAGTGATGTTTGTGGTTCCATCTAGGCTTTGGGATCACGCTGGCTGCTGTGTGTGTTGTAGGGAGGTGGAAGGAAGGTGTGGAAGATAGAATGGTGGCCACCCAAAGAGGTCCCCATACCCATTCCTGGAACTTGCGAATGTTTTAGGTTACATGGCAAGGGGGGCAATTAAGGGGGCAGATGGAATTAAGGCTGCTCATCAGCTGACTTAAAAATAGGGAGATTACTCTGGATTCCCCAGGTGGGCCAAAGGAACAACAAGAGCCATTAAATAGGGAAGAGAGAGGCAACGGAGTCAGAACGAGAGAGACGCGGTGTGAGAACGAGTCCAGTGGCCTTTGCTGATTGTTGAAGATGGAATGGGGACCATGAGCCAAGGAACATGGGCAGCCACTAGATGGTGGAAAGGGCAAGAAAGGAATCCAACCCTGCCACCGTCTTGCTCTTGGCCCAGTGAGACCCATTCCAGACTTCTGATCTCCAGAACTATAAGATAATACATCTGGGTTGTTTTTAAGTCACTAAAATTTGTTACACCATCGACTGGAAACAAAGACACAGGGAACTCTCTAAGAAAGGCTACTGTAATTGTTTAGATAAGCTTTGGCAATGGCTTAAGAAGTAGTGATATAACTTCCGTCCTAAGTGTGGGGATTTGTGTTAGGTCCTCTTTCAGGTTAGTCACAGGCCGTTTGTCACCTCTATATAGGCAGGATGTGGCCTTTTATGACTTTTTCTCCATACTTACACCCACTTCAAAGCACAGCTAGTCCTGACACACAGGATTCCCTGTCACCTGGGAGAATAAACACTTGATAGCAGTGCCAGGAGCAGACAGCTTGGGAAAACCAAATGGCAGGGCACACACCAGTGAACCATTGTGTGTGAACTGGGAAAGTCTACATTGGGACAGGGAGAGAGATGAACATTGTGACTGGACCACTGCAGATTCGAATGGGTGCTCATCCCAGGTTTGGAACAGGCACAAACAATGGAAAACAGAAGCCTCACGCAAAGAATGTGCAAAGGCAACTTCATACTTCCCTCCTTTATACTTCCCTATCCTGATCCCCGATAAATAAATTTATGTTGGAATAAATGAATGCACGAATGAATGGATGAATGGGTTACATACATAAATAAATAGATCTCCACTGGAAAGGGAATTCCTTCTTTCTGTGGCTTCTCCAGCAATAATTGATGCTTGAGTCGTCTGCATGCCTCTCTTTGAGTTTGTCAAAACCAGAATTCAAAGTGTCTTAGTTCAGGGACCTGTTTTTTAGAGAGTAAAAAACCCCAGGCTCAAATATTCAACATTCACGAATATTTTTTAAGGGTTAGTAATAACTGATACCTGTGAATGCTGTCTTAGAAGAATTTTTTTTTTTGTAATCAGTGGCCCAAAACTGTCTCTTATATTTAGAAGCCTGGATCTAGGGTTACGTATCAAGATACACACGCATGGTACTGTTTTGCTGAATGCAGCTGTCCTGCTGCAGGCCAGAGATAATTTGCTGATCCAGGAGCTGAGGCCAGCGATTTTATGTCTGCATCTGCTTCTGCCCATAACTTGTGGGCAAAGAGAGGCAGCTTCAAGAGCCGTCACCCTATCAGCCTCAACAATGCAAACAGTGGTAGGGCAGGGGCATTTGCTCCCTGGGCTGTCCCTCCCTCCAAGACAGCCAGGGCTTCCTCCTGCAAAGCGACTGCATAATACTTTGTTCATCCTTCTGCTTCTGTGCTCACACGTTTCCTCCTGATGGTTTACGTGTGTATCATCTGTTCCCCCCACCAGACCGTGGGCAACCTTCTCAGGGGGCTCTCTTATTCACAGTGGAATTTCCAAAGCCTAGTCCAGTTTCTACGATTGAACAGGTCCTCTATAAATATGGGTCAGAGGAGGAAATGGACGAGAGTGACAACACCATGGGGGAACTGTTTGAAAAGCTATTAGATTACTTTTGTCCTGTGTGTGGAAGGCATAGTAAGAGGCGCACTTAATGTGGACAGTGCTTGTTTTTGTTTTTTTTTTTCTGCCCAGCATTTGTCTCTCCTTCTTCTGGTAAAAGCACTTTGGTTTTCCTTTGGGGAACCACCCTTCCTGCACCCTCAATCCATAAAGTTTGGGTGGAGCTAATTTCATACTCAGCTCCAGGAATTGAATCTTGACTTCGAGCCTGGCCAAAGAGGGTGCCACACACCCCTGGCCACAGCATCAATTTGTGTCGATACAGTGGCCACACCTGTTTTTTAAAGGATGGTATCCATTCTGATGGGTTGGTTCCTGTTTCAAATCGATTGTGCATTATTTTGAAATGAATCTTTTTTTTTTTTTCCTAGAGCCATTAAGGAAGAAACACTCGATTTCCTCAGGCATTGTTAAGCTGGTAGGAAGAAGTCCGAAGCTGTTGGCAGCCATCTTCCCATAGTTTCACGATGAAACTGACATGAACTCAGCAGGTTGGGGCTGAGAAGTAGAGAGGGACAAGTTCCTAGTAACACCGAGCACCAAGACCCAGCCATACCTGAAGCCATCCCTGAAATTTTCAGTTATATGAGCAGTAAACTCTACTTTTTGCTCTAGCCAGTTTTTGTCATTGGTTGATGAAAGAGTCCCTAGGTTGATACACCAGGTTAATTCTAACTGCGCTTTGGGGACAATCTCAGTTTTGCAGGATATACTTGACAAGGTGACCATCCTACTTTGGTGATTCTTAGAGCTTAGGAGCTGGGGGCCCAATACAAACCAAAGCCCCCTTGACAGGGGTCTCATTTACTGACAGAATTCTTCTTATTTTGACTTTGGTGGGACATATCTCATGCTTCCTAGAAGGGCATCTCAGGCTATAAGTCAGTTCAGAGTGATGCCACTCCAGCCCCACCCCTGGCCCCCCTATGGTCTTCCCTGGGGCAAACGACCACATTTTGGTTATGGAAGTCTCTGGAAGGGTGGGAACCATCCCCTCTCCAAACACAATTCACACACCATAGTAAACATGTTTACTGAAAACCATTTTTATTCTGCCTCTCAGCAACACTTTTCATTTGACTGGGGTAAAAGATCAGGGACCCAAACACGCACAAACAAAAATACAAGATGTCAAAAACAGAAATCAGGATCCAATCTACTGGAATGACGCTAGAATCTCTGTGTGCTGAGATTTTATGTCCCTGATTTAACGTCCTCCTGGGACAAGTGCTGGCTCATGATGGACATCTGGGGAGGATGACAGATGGAATCTGGTGTCAATCAACTTTTCTGTTTTGCTAGGGTCCAGTATTTGAACAAATGCCTGAGATTCGCAATAATGTAAGAAGAAGGCTTTGTATTTTTCTAGCACTTAGAGATTTCCTTCAGGGCTGTTCACATCTATTATGGCAATTAATTCTCATAACAACACTGTGAGGTAAGTAGGCAGGTATTCTTAACTCCATTTTCCAGATGAAGAAATTCGAGGCACAGAGAGGTTAAGAAACTTGCCTAAAATCAGCTTGCATCGCTAATTAGTGGCAAAAAAGAAAAAGGTATTGGAATTCAGGTATTTTTGACTCAGCCTCTTGTTCATTCAATTAGAATAAGCTTTGCTTATGCAAGTTCATTATCATTAGGCTTCTAATATTAGTTCTTGAAGTAACTTTTGCCATATATGCATATCATCTGTTGTGTTAAACACTTGATATTTTTCTTTGAGTCCTTATACTTCTTTTAAGTTAATTTATTTGAATAGGAAATACATATCACATCCCTCTGTGGGAAGCCATAAATGGAAGGTAATAGATAAAATAAATACCATAAGAACAAAACAATATCATTAACTTCTATCCAGACAGAAGACTCTGAAGCTGAGGCCTGCTCTTTCTTTGTTAAAAAGGGAAAAGAGCCACAGTGTTATTAATCAAGGTGTTAAAGACCCGTTAGCACTCAACAGAGAGTTTATCCTTGCTGTCATCATGATGGAAAAAGAATACAAAAGAAGAAAGTTTCTTTATGATTCATTATTACCTAATATCATGTCTGTAAACTACTTAAAAATTATCCTGTGTACCACCAGTGGTACACGTCTTATGCTCTGTGAAACTAGAGGCAGGCAGAATAATGGTGTCATTAAACCAGTACATTTGCACCTAAAGGGTTTACATTTGACAGAAAAGATGGGTGGCATTTCCAGGTGGCAACCAGGAAAAATCAAAGATTTTGCCTGAGACTTGCTAGAGAGAAATAGAGAGACATATTGGGGAAAAAAAAGCACATTCCATAAACACAGCCAGTTTATTCCCAAAACTGGGGTGGAGAAAGTGCTCATGTGTCTAGAATTGACACCAAGTACATTCTCAGAGTGAGGCTGTGGTCATGTTGACCAGTGTGGATACACACAAGAGAGGAGGCCTATCAGGACAAGCACTGATCAAGACAAAAGTCCAGAAAGCCCCTTCCTCTGAGTCGTTGACCCCCTGGCTGAGCTCTGGGAATGACAGTGCTGATGGAGGAGAAGTTACTGAAGTGAAGTTACAACATGTGAGGATAAAAGAAAAGCAAATCCACAAATTCAACTCCAACAGACAATTTTAAACATGCTGCCAATGTTTGTGCCTGACATTGTAAATACCAGCTTCCACTGCTCTTCCTAGAAACCTCCCTCTCCCCCAAACCCGAACCCCCTCCCCACCAATTAAAAGTAAATGACATTTCCTGAGGCTCATCTCTGGAGAGGAGGAATGGACACAAATGGGCTTCACTAAACTACAACAGTGAGACTTCATTTTTTTTTTCTTTCTTTTTTTGTTTTTATAAATCAATGACTCTGGTGGATCTGGCTGTGTTGCTTGGATTTCCTAAAAATTTGGACTTTTTTGTTGTTGTTGTTGTTGATGTTCATTTGCCAGGGACCTGCCTCTGGAGAGTCCCGGAGGAAAAGATCTCACAGTCTGAAGTCAAGGATCCTTTCCTCGGAAACTCCTTTGGGGTGTGTGCGGATGAGGTCCATCCTCCACGCTCTCAGCACACCTCCTGCTGGCTCCTCAGGCTCTGTGTGATACAGAGAGACAGAAAGACAGAAAGACAGTGGACTTAGCTTCCGTGGTTGGCTTTCTTAGCTCAGTGGCTTCCTTATCTAATGGAGATTCCTCTGGTTCAACAAATTCTGAAATGGACTAACAGACCTGCACGCTTTTGACTGTACATATTGGCTTCCTTTTGAGAAATATATTCTATTTGCAAAACATATTTTATTTTACATGTGGCATGTGCAGAAAAAAAACCTAACTTTAAGGATAGAGATGGAGCAAAATGCCTCTTGAGCATTTCTCAATCTCAATCTCCTCCCCAAAGGGCTGGAAAATCTGACTTTAGAGGATTCCAGGCCTGAAAATGAGTTTTCTGAGTTTCAGTCAAAAATACTATCTGAAGTAAACTACTGCCTTTTCAAAACTATACAGTCCTTGCCTTTAAAAAAATTATTCTTTATCTTTATCCAGAAAGCTGTAACCAATCAGCTAGAGAACAGATTGAAATCTCAAATGGTTGAAATCCCAGGTAGTTTACTTTCTTGAAATAGTATCAGATCACTGGTCGTCTTTACCGAAACTCATTTAAAAAAGGTCTCATTCATCCTAATTTTACAGGATGTCTATAATACGTAAGCCACATGGTGGCTGGGGCAAAGAAAGGCAGGGTTTCATGACATCAAATTCCTAAGGAATGATCAAACTGAAATATTCAACAGCTTTGGATAGAAGGCTGCATGGACAGCAGAGAAATGTTCTGGTCTAAGCAGAATCAGAAACTTGTGTCTCTCAAAGTTGGAAAATTCTCTGCCCTCAAGTTGCTAGGACAAGTGGGGAAATAAATTACACAGGTAAAACATTTAAATATAGTGGCCATCTGTTTATCCATCCCAATAATTTATATCCCTAGTCTAAATCAATAAGTCTACGGGCTTTCACTTTTTCCTGGAATCTTCAGGACTCAAGGTTGGGTCCCTCTAGTCATGTTTCTCCAAGCACAGGTCTCAGAGCCACCTATGACAGGTTCGGCTGGGATGCTTGTAAAAATGCAGATTCCCGGGCCCCAGTCATGACCCTGAGTAGCCTTAAAGTATGCGTGATCGCAATCACCCTTGCAGAAAAATACTTCTAAGTATTCTAAAGTTGCAGAACCACTGTCCTAAGGTTTTGTATTTAATGGAGAATACTCTTGCTTGTACGGACATATGCCACAAAATAAGACTTTTATATTCCTAACATAAGAAAAAAAACAGTTTTTCTTCTCTTACATGGCCAACACAACACATTTCTGTGACAAGATATGCCTGGTTTCCCTACATACCAAGCAATTCTCCAGCGAATACCAACCGGGTATCCTATAATTTAACTCAATGATGACACCATCTACTGGGAGTTAGAGTCCGACCCCACAGGTGAATGGTTCAGTCCCCCAGGACTGCCCCCCCCTTCAGATGCCAATTGCAGGTTGTGACTTGTGCTTCTGACCAACCAGCTACAAATGGAGATCCCACAACCCCCTCCTTGGGTTCTATTACTTTGCTAGGGTGGCACACAGAACTCAAGGTAACACTTACTTATATTTATCCATTTAGTACAAAGAATATTACAAAGTACACAGATGATTGGCCACATGGAAGAGATACATAAGACAAGGTATTTAGGAAGGGGTATGGAGCTTCCATGCTCTCTTTTAGCACTCCACTCTCCAGACTCCTCCATGGGTTCAGCAATCTGGATGTTCTCCAAACCCTATCCTTTTAGGTCTTTATGGGAGCTTCATTATGTAGTCTTGATTGATTACATCATTGGCTGTTAGTGATCAGTTCAACCTCAGCCCTTTTCTCCTCACTGGAGGTTGGGGGATTGTACTGAAAGGTTTCAACCTTCTAATCACACGGTTGGATCCATCCCCTAGCAACTCGCCCTCATCCTGAAGCTTGTCCAGCAACCAGCAAGATTCACCTCATTAGAACAAAAGATGCTCTTACCACCGAGAAAATTCCAAGGGATTTAGAAGCTCTATGTCAGGAACTGGGGTCAAAGACCAAATATCAGAACAAAAAATTCTCCTAGCACTTCTATTGATAAGGGTGTTAGGAGCTCTGTGTCAGGACCCAGCGGCAGAGATCAAATATTGATTTCTTCTTATATCATGATATCACACCTAAGATACCTGGTAGAAGCTTCAGTTATTGCTGCTTCCCTAGAAAGTTTACACACCTCCCAAGTTTCCTCTTCCTCCTTCCTTGTGGTCAGGTTCATGGTCACTTATCTGATGCCCTGTGGGATTTGGTGGAACTTTCTTAGCAGCAAAACCAGCAGACCATGACCAAGCTTGGATATGAAGGAGACAAATATGACATTCTCAGACAACCCTGGTAATATGATAGAGCTTCGTGTTGCTTGGGGGTGAGGTTCTGATGTCAGGGCATAAGGTGAGCTTTGAATAGAATTTAAACTTAATCTTGGAAGATCCACAGCAGGACACCCTCTTGGAGACCCACCCAGCACCCTGATCCACCCAACACAACCCGTGAACATTTCAGTGGTGGAAGAGGTGACCATTCCTGAATTGAGCACTAGCTGAGTACTTTTTTTTTTTTTTTTAGAAACACACATAGTTGATTTGCTCTAAGTTAAACGTACATGCAGTACAACTCCGCTGAATGCATGTCTGAGTGGTTTCTCTAACTAGTCAGGTACACACCTTACTGTGTATTAAAAATGCTTGTTTGTCATTCTTAGCAGTAAGAGCCTTTGTGTTCCACGGTTTTTGTTAAGGAAGAACTTGACCTCTAAATGGGGGTAAGGGTCAACATGACTGTGTCCCACTAACAGCTAAAGAGTTAGAAGATGTAAACTCATTCTGTACTGGTAAAATTTCTCTTATAAGCAAATTGAAATAAATCCTTCCCTGGCCTCAAAATAGCCTTCAATTACATTAGTGTTGGAAGGAAGTAGATATATCACGGTGGTCATCAAACAAGAACTTGACCTTTCTGCGAAAACATAAAAGCAAATCCATCTTCTTTCCTGTATTTCTGGCTGGGGTAGAGCTTCCTGGGAATTGTTTTGCATAAACGTGTCTTCAGAGAATTTTTGTAATTCCATCATGAAAGATAAGGAACATTACCTATTTCCAGAAGGCCTTTCTTTGTTGGCTCAGCTAAGTTTGAGATAGAAATGAGTCAGACCTAAATTGCCAGCAAGCATGGAAAGATTTTTGCTTTGAAGAAGATAAAAGCCAGTGGGACATTGATGAAGAAATCAGAATAAACATAAAAAATGATGTTCGACCAGGGAGGCACACAAATTGAAGCAACAATAAAATACTATATAATTTTTTGTCTGCCAGATTGAAACAACTAAAATGATGGATCATATTAAGGTTGGCCACAGTGTGAAAAATTGGATACTACACTGTTGGTAGAAGAGTAAATTGGTAGAGGCCTTGCTGCCTTTTTGATGGTCACAGAAGAGCCTCCCTGTGGCTATATCTGCTGGGCGGTAACTTTACTCTCCTCCTTGGCATTAAATTCGACATAATAAATTAGGATGATGTGTTTGCTGATGTAAATGAAAACTGACCACTCCATTAATGGCCACTGTGTGTGTGCTTTTCCGTTTGGACTTTGGAAGGAAGAAATGTGCCAGGGTTCGGCAAAGAGTGCTCTGCTGACCACCTGCATCTGAATCCTTAGGGGTCGGAAGGGGGAGCAGCCAAATGCAAATTCCTGGGCCTCACTTTTGCTTTAGCAAGTCAGAATCTTTTGAGGTGGGGCTCAGATGCCAACTTCTTTTAAACCTCTCCAGGTAACGCTTGTGTAGCCCAAAGCTTGGGAACCTCTGCCTTAGAAGTTCCACATTACCATTCATTTCTTAATGGAAGATAGAATTGATTTCATTCCCTAGAGGCTAATTCCTTTATCATGTTCTCCCTCTTTCCCCATCTGTCTCTCTCTTGCCCATGCACATACACGACAAAGCCTTTAAATCTGAGTTTGTCCATTCAAATGCTAGCTGGAAAACTTTTTTTGTTTTCTTTAATAATGTGGAAGGAAAGGTATAGAAAAGGAATCTGACCGTAAAGATGGGGAAATAATTCTACTCTCATTTTACAGATAGGGAAATCGAGGCCCAGAGAGTTTAATAACTTGGCCAGATGGCCTGTGTGTAGAACTAAGATTTGAATCCTGGTAAGACTGGTGCCGTAGCCCAGGCTCTACCCACTGAGAAACACTGCTCTTAGGAAGGAGGGATGGAGAGGTGACTCCCTCTCATACATTTTATTCCTACTAACAAAGCTTCGATCACAAGTAGACATACGTCTACACTTCATCTCCAGATAGAAACACGGTATTAAGCGTGGAGAAAGTCCGTCCATATATGAAGACTTCTAGGTCCCTTGTAAACACTTCTTGGACGGCGTATCAGGGGCAAAGTGATCTTTTAAAGCCAAATCGTCCACCACAGACTGTAAGGCAGATAGTGTCTAGGCTGCAACTGTTGTTTTGGCCCTCACCATGTGTTTTAATAATGTGAATTGGTTACTGACATTTAAAACTATGGGCATTTTACATAAAAACCCAGATTTCCAACACCTTTTTTAAAAAGTGGGCTGCATGGGGCCTGCATGGTAAGTGGTAACAATTGGACCAGAATGGTGGTTCCTTTAAACTGTGCTCTCCTATTGGCCATGGTCCCCACTGCTCCCTATTGTCCTATAACCAGGCTGCTTCCCTCATGTCTACTCTCTGCCTGATTCCTGCACTCCTTTGACTTTGTGACCCTTTGTGATTCATCACATTTCTGTAGGTTGAAACCTCACCACATTATCCTCATGTAAATAAATCCTGGAGTTAGCTACAAAGCAAGGCCCATTTACCGGCCTTTGTTACTGGGTACCCTAGAAGGGACACACTGAATTAGAGGTAGGGTGGAGTTTGGTTAAGAACACAGCTGGAAGAGCCGGACTATCTTGGGTTTAAACTCTTAAACAAATCACTTCATCCCTCTGAGCCTCAGTTTTCTCACCCACAAAATGGGAATAATAATACCTACTTCTGTTGGGTTGCTGTGAGGATGCCATGAGGACTAATTCATGTAAGGGCTTAGGACAGGGCATGGCACACAGCAAGGTCTATGTCAGTGTCAGTTGCTATTATTATAACCCACTTAGCTCAAATACTAATCTGGGCAGTATGTATTTTCACAAGTTCCCAGGAGTTAAGCCAAGACTTGGCATCCTTCCCTTGGAAGACTGTCCTTTGAGTTTGGCTCATGAGTACAAAGCCTTGAGCTCTACTTAATGGCATCTTAAATTCTGAGGTCCCAGTAATGTTGACAACAATAGTAATAACAGAATTAATATGTGGTTTGCATATTTTGTGCACCAAGGGATAGAGACAGCAAGCTATACACATTGTGTGGGTCATCTAACCTTTACAATAGCCCATGAAATGGATACTACTATAACCCCCACTTCACAGCTGAGAAATATGAGGTTTGAGGAGGTTAAACAATTGGCTGAAGGTCTCACAGTGGGTAAGTGATGGGGTTGGGGTGGACCTGGGCCCAGGCAGTCTGGTGCCAGACCTGCACCATTAACCCCATGCTCTATGGGCCCCTGTTCACATGGACACAAGCACATTGTGCCTTCTCTTAAGAATAAGAGAACTGTATTCATGTCTATTCCCCAACCATCCTCCCCTTCATAGGCCAACATCATCAAACTTGCCATCCAGCAAGCAAGAAACCTTGCGTTTCCTTTCATGTTTTAGTGCCCTTCTCTCCTTTCTTTGGACAAAGCCATCTATTTCTGTGTGTGTGACAATTCTTGTTTTGACATCTCCCCCTCCACCCAATACCCACTGGGTCTGGCTCAGTTGATCTATCGTGAAGTTGATCTATCATGACATCTGCTACTGTCTTGGTTGCCAAGGTTGGGTTGGCTGGGTTGGCTGGTCTGGCAGGTCAAAGGACGTCCCCTTTCTCTTTCGCCCACTTGGGTGAGCCTCTTTGGTCAACCAGGACAAAGAGGTTGACCTTCTCAGCTTGAGGGGCACAGGGCTTCGGTCAACAGTATTTAGGAGTGGCTGCGCAGCTCTGGCAGAAAAGCTGAAAGATTTCTCAGCATTCTTATCTGCCTGGCCAGGACTTACACAGAAAGACAGAGATGGATCTGGGCTTGTCATTTCCCAGTTTGGATAGTTCATCACATCACCTTGCCCTGTGTCATTTCCACCTGCGGGAAAGCATCATTGATTCTAGTGGATGGAGCCCATCTCAGCTGGTTTGAGAAATCAGAGTAAATTTGTTCAAATCCAGAGGAAGATACCAACAGCATCCATTGTTTTAGGAGGTGAGAGCTCATTGGCAATACCAAAAATATGTGGTGACCTTTCTGCCCTTAGACTAAGAATGACGATGCCAGTTCACTGCCAAATCGTGTAGGAGATCATTTAGCAGACCCCATGGTAAGGCAGAGCAAGGAACACTCCTGAATATCCCACGTACTCTCCCACATTTCTCTCCCTGTTACAGTTAGGTGGGACTATGTCACTGATTTCAGCCAATGACTATGAGCCTAAGTGACATTCGTCACTCCTGGGCTGAGGCAATAAAAAGGCCCATGTGGGATTCTCTGATCTTCCTCTCTGCCACCTTCACCTGAGGACACCTTTTGTTCTAGATCTGAGATTGGCAAACTGCAGCCCACAGACAAGGTGCCTGCTTTTGTAAATAAAGTTTTATTAGAACACAGCCATGCCTGTTCATTCATATTGTCCATGGTTGCTTTTGTGCTAAAATGGCAGAGCTAAGTAGTTGTGACAGAGACCATGGTAGAGACCATATGGCCGGCAAGGCCTAAAATATTTACTATGTGGCCCTTTAAAGGAAAATTTGTTGACTTCCGTTCTAGATAGAGCAGCTACAACATGGTGGAGGTCAGGATCGCCTGGAGCCCTGAATGACTGTGTGGAGGAGAGACGTTCCACTGACCCACACGGTCCATATAACATCAGTGAAGACAACATGGAAACCCTTTTGTTTGAGGTTATTTGTTTCTGGAGTATAACCTAGCCTATCCTGACAGATTTCAACGGGCATTCGAGAAAAGGCATCTTACATCAGAAGGGATTCGAAAAGCCTACTTACTTCCGTGTGAAGTGAACTGCACAAGAAATGCCGATGATGAGAAGGCCGATGATGATGGAGGCGATGGCCACCCACTTGGCATTCCGCCCAAGCCGCCTGGATCCTTCATAGTCGCCGTCATTGTAGCTGTTCAGAGACTGGGGGACACAAGGGAAGAGCTGGTGATGATAGACAAGCCACCAGGAAGGGCGTGGGGATTCTCAGGTTGTCCCGATAAAAAGGCTGGAAGAACCCTCTGGTGACTTTGCTCATCTCAGTGACAGGCTGCTGAGCAAGCGGCATGGCCGTCCTCTCCTGTGGGAATCCTTCCCGAAACTCCAAGGCCGAGCTAACTGTCCCCTTTGTATTTCCTGGTCACTTTCATCTTATCATTTACCATAACACATTAAAATGATTGAGTTTGTCTCTTCCACCAGGACGTTAAGTGCTACATAGGCAGGGGCTGCCGTTGTCTGTCTTGTTCAACACAGCGTACCAGTGCCCAGTGCAATGCTTGCCATGTAGAAGATGCTGGATAAGTATTTGTAGCATAAAAGGATAAACGAGTATGTCTGTCCCATCTGCTAGAACAGGGCTTTGCGAACCATGGCCCATGGGCCAAATCCATCCTGCCGCCTGTTTTTGTAAATGGAGTCTGTTTGGAACACAGCCACGGTCATTTGTCTACTATTATCTGCGGCTGCTTTTGTGCTAGAGTTACATAATTGAGTAGCTGGGACGGAGACTGTAGGGTCCACAAAGTCAAAATTATTTAGTATTTGGTCATTTGCAGAAAACGTTCTCCCACTCCTGCCCTAGATCATCAATCCATGAGGTCAGGGACCTTGGCTGAATTGTTAATCTCTGTGCCCAAGACAAGGCTGTCATTGTACCAGCTGTTAAAGTGCTGCCATACTTGTGTACTCACTGACAAACAGCAGCTACCCCGAGGCTTGTCCCCCTTCCCCACTGTCCCAGCCATCCTGCTTCCTCTTCTGAATTCCCCCCAGACTTCCCAAAATTCAGCAACTTAAGGGTTATTTCTGGGCTGAGGAGAGAATCTTCTCTGATTCTGTGCCCATGCTAAACGTGTTAAATATTTAAGTATTGTCCTCATTGCTAGTACTTTGAGTGGTGTCTGGCACATTGCAGGGGCTCAAGAAATAGGTAATGACTGAATGAGTGCATGAGCATGTCTGTTTCCCTGCAGAACATGAGGGGGTCTTGGAGTTCCCCAGGACCTAGCCTGGTGCCAGGCAAAGGAGAGGGGCTCAGAGAATGCTTGCTACTGAGCTGATGACCAGATGCTGTTTTTCTTCTTTATCATGAGCCTTCTTTGTCATCCCACTGCTAAGAATCACCCTGAATTCTTGCTACAGCTATGTACACAAGGACTCCATCAGTGCTGTGAATTACAGATTTCATTGGGAACCTCTGTTCTTGATTCTGAAATCACAGCACTTCAGTAATAATTGCTTGTCTTCCTGGTCTATTAAGGGGGATTAGGCATATGCAGACAATTACAAGCCCGAGAAATACCCAGTATACCACAGAGCTTTCTGCTTCCGGAACCTTCCATTAATTCTTGGATCTGGGCCATCTTAGTCAGCAACAGGCTGGGAGATTCAGCAAAGAAAAGAATTTTCTTTCAGGCTTCTTGTGTGAATGAGACAGTGAGAACCTGCAACAATGTCAGGGACTTCCAGCAAGTGAGTTCCAAAATTCCAAGTCCTGAATTCTGGAGTTCTCAACCTGGGGTGCCCATTAGAACTACCTGGGTAGTTTTAAAGAAACAAAGATATCTGGATCCTATCCTGGGGAGATTCTGATTTAACTGTTGTAGGAATCAGGTACCATATGTGTTATGCATATATATATATATATATATATATATATAATTTTTTTTTTTTTTGAGACAGGGTCTCTCTCTGTCACCTGGGTAGAGTGCAGTGGTGTCATCACAGCTCACTGTAACCTCAAACTCCTGGGCTCAATTGATCCTCCTCCCTCAGCCTCCTAAGTAGCTGGTACTGCAGGCACGAACCACCATGTATGACTAATTTTTCTATTTTTTGTAGAGACGGGGTCTTGCTTTTGCTCAGGCTGGTCTCGAACTCCTGGCCTCTACCTCCCAAAGTGCTAGGATTACAGGTGTGAGCTACCATGCCCCACCTTACGTGTATGTTTTTTTATTTTTTTAAAATATGCATAAAATTTACCATTTTAACCATTTTTAAGTGTATAGTTTAGTGTCATTAAGCACATTCACATTGTCGTGTAACTGTAACCAAACATCTCCACAGCTTTCTTATCTTCCCCAACTGAAACTCTATTCCTGTCAAACACTTATGCTCTATTCTGCCCTCCTCCAAGCCCCTGGCAAACACCATTCTCTTTTCTTCGTCTACATACTTGACTATTCTGGATACCTCATATAAGTGAAGTCACAAAGTATTTGTCCATTTTCGACTGGCTTCTTTCACTTAGCATAATGTCTTCAAGGTTCATCCATGTTGTAGCATGAATCAGAATTTCCTTCCCTTTTGGAAGCTGAATAATATGCCATTGTATGGCTATAGTACATTTTGTTTATCCATTTATCTGTTGATGGACATTTGGGTTGCTTCGACATTATTATTATTTTTAATCTTCACAGAATTGAAAATCTCTGGTCTAGGCAGTTATCCTTAATGTCCTTAAAGGTCAAGATGGTCACCACCTTTAAATTTATTCCAAGGGAGTATGTGAGAAAGCACGGGCTCTAAACTCAGAGAGACCTGAATTCAAATTCTAGCTAAGGCAAGTTATCAACCTTTCTAAGACTCAATGTCTTCATCTGTAAATTGGGGGCAATAGTATTTAATAATAAGTACCTATTTTGCATCGGAGGATCCAATGAATTAATGCATATAAAGTGATTAGCATTGGCTCAGCACATAGTATACACTCAGTACATGTTAGCTTTTACCATGAATTGCCACTTCCTGTCTTGTTCTTAGTCTAAAGCTGTGATTCGTGTAGTGCATCAGAATCATCTCTGCCCCTTGCTGGATCAGAACTTTTGGGGACCCAAGGTTGAGAAGCTGTTTTAAAGGCTTCACAATCAAAGTCACTGCATGGAACATTAGGATCCCAAATTCTGAGCTCATAACCCAGTTTTAGAATGATGTAGATTCAGACCCTGACCCCTGCAAGCTGATCATTATTCTCTCATGCTACCTTGGAAAACACAGTTCTGAGATGAGTCATGGTGATGCATTCATTTTGCTGCAACCAGAGGAAAAATAATGAGGCCTTACCCTCTCCTCTTCCCAAACAATGTCAGCTCTTGGCTGTTGGGATGAAAACAGAAACAAAAACAAAAACCAGTTTCATGGTCTCAGCAGCAGTGACCAAAAAAGTGGGAAGGACTGGCGGTCTGTGCCATGCTGATGAATGGTACATCTACCGTCTGTGCATTGCCCATGCGCCCAGGTGAGATGGGGGTCCCTGGGCCATTGGAGTTTTCTGGCACAGGTGAGATGAGCCATGTGGGTGACTTGGCTGAGGGGTTTGGGTGCAAGCCATGGGCGAATCCTGCCACACCACCATCCCCTGCTGCCCGTCTGGCATCTCCCATGTGACCTTCCTGTCTGCACACCACCAGCTTTCCAGGGCTCGTAAGGGAGACCTCGAGTGAGCCCAGGAATGGGGCTGCTGTTGGCTTGCAAAACATCCCAAAACAAAGCCTGAAAGAAAAGCATCTTTTGGTACAAGTGCGGACTCTTCTCTCCTCATGAGTCCTCTTCTGAATCCATTTTCTCCTCTGGTATTTGGAAAAGGGGGTGCCCAAGGGGAAATCTGCCGGGTGAGTGTAAGGAGATGGGGGTAGGGATGAGGGTGGGAGACTTTCAGACTCTCAGATTTCATCCTGAAGGACTTCAATGGCTGGGGCTTCTTGGGCTTAAGGGTAGAGATCTAACAAGTAGAGGAAGGAATTCTTTGCCTCCTCCCACCATGTGTCAGCTGTAATTCCTTTCCTCTTCCAATTGCAACTTTATACTAAGATTCTCCTGGCAGACGAGACAGACTGAAGTGGTGGAAATGGATTTTAGAGAAAATGCATCGTTTATAAATCTTTTTCTGAAGAGCTTAGAACGCAAACTAGTCCATCTGCTGTGGACGAACTAGAAAGAAACAGGGAGGCTTTAGCTATTCCAAATTTCTATGATCTTATTTGTTCTTTTTAAAAATCACTAATGCAATCTGGGACCATGCAAAATGTTCAAATGCTACAGAAAGTACATACAAACACTAAAGTAAATAGTAAAGCTCTTTCCCTAATCTCATTTTCCAGAGATAACCCTTGTTAGCAGTTTGGTGCATTTTCTTCTAGATTTTTACCCCCACGAATAATATGAAAAGAAAACTGACACTTTCTCCTTCTTCCATTATGACTAAGCATATCACGTATCACAGCCAGGAGAATGAAATAGCAATTTTCACCCTGAGATAGAACAAGAATAACAGAGCCAGTCCGTCTAGTCCTGCTCCCTCAAATATTAAAACCTTGAGTATTTCTCATAAATCTTGGCAAAGACAACTCCATCCCTGCCTTTCACAATGCTCATGTCTAAACATGGGTTCCTTCCTTTGTAGATATTGTAATATCATGAGACAAATACTGTCTTTTTTTCATGAACAGGCTAATATAAAGCTTGGTAACCTTGGCAACTTTGCATTTCTCTCTTTTAAATACGTATGTTGTACTTCTTATTTGGCTAGATGGTCCTTTCGATGTTGGACTTCTTGCATTTCTTTTTAAGTAAAATCTTTTCTTTTCTAAAGGTTTTGGCCTCTGAGTCTTTCTTGGACAAAATAATAATGATCACATTTATTGAGGATTTATTATGTGTCAGGCACTATGTTAAAACATTTTTCAGGAATTATTTTATGAGTCCTCATAATAGTTCTATGAGGTAGGTGCTCTATGGTTTCCATTTCACTGATGGGAAAATTCAGGCACAAAGAAGTTAAAATAATTTGCCCACGGTCACATAGATAGTTAGGCAACATGATTATACACACACACACACACACACACACACACACACAGTTTTTGTTAATGTTCTCTTTGTTCTAAAAATATGAACAATATCATACTATCCTTGTTCTGCAA